GAGCAGCGTTTATTTATTTATAAACTACTGTAACCACGCATGATTGCTTTTTATGAGTTCAACAATTCGCACTTATGAGATTGTGATCTTTCTCCAAATTTGACCCAGACAGTGTAAAGATTACAACTGTTTTGAGACAGGGCTATTAGTTATTAAAATAAACAATCCAAAAGCTTTAACAATTAAGAGAGGGGCATAGGTATAGATTCAAGGACAAAGCCACGAGTCCACGACTGTTTTGTGTAGCTACATGCAATTGCATAATAAATACATGTCGATAAATATTAGTAAGTGCAAGAATCAGTAATAGAATGAATTAACAATAATTTAGTTATTATCTCCGTGAATATCCAAATGATTTTGGAAATAAGAAAACCACAACATATGTTGAATCTATGGGTCGTTTTACCAGACTGTACAGCAAAACAGATGTTCAAACGTACCGACATCAATTGGCACTACAGTCGATTGTGTTTGCCATATGACGTTGTTGATGTCTGTACTTTTAGGCGCCATTACACTGTCATCGTCGGTGACGCAGAATGACTGGTATTTGGTGAATATCAATCAGAGGTGTTATTATCGAGTACAATACGAAGGTGAAAACTGGGATAAATTGGCAACATATTTAAAAGATGAAGATCACACGGTATATGTTTAGTTAAGCGAGTTCGGTTTCGTTGGAGTGCGGAACTTATATGTTTTATTATGCCTCAATTATATTGATAATACTGTATTATAGCAACTCGAAATTTTACAACGATATACATTAATGCAGAAAACATAAGTGTTCAGATCACCGAGAGATTGATTTATAATCGATGTATTAACCATCCATATAATTTTGAAGTAACATTTCAGACACGATATATGAAATGCAATCATTTTATGGTAGTGTCTATTTTATGTTTACACGGCGTGCTTTTCACAACAGTCAGTTCAAAGCTAAAATCCTAACGATTATTACAAAATTATTATGGTTTATATATCTCACCAGACGATTCATGTACGTAGCAGATCAGCTATTTTAGACGACGCTTTCAGTCTTGCACATGCTTACCTGTTGGACCAAGTGTACTCAATCAGACTGCTAGAATATTTGTACAAAGAGACAGAGTACTTACCGATGAACACCGCCATCAGCAGAATTTGGTACACCCGTGATATGTTAAAAAGAACTTCTGCCTATGGATATTTGGAGGTAGAAATATATGTCTTATGTCGTAACAAAACGATACCATGATTGTATTTTGATAATTCAATATATTTACTTTTTATGTTTTACTCATTCTATTCCTATTTATTTCCTAGCAACAAATGAAGCACGCTATAAATAATAACTACTACGAACGTCTCTGGGATTTTGACCACAGCGACCATTTGGGATAGTAAGTTATACGAAAATTTAAAATAATATTTTCAATCCAAAAGAACACCAGTTATCTGTGCAGGCACTATTTATATCTTGTCGCATTAGAGGGTCAGACACATGGATCGACATTGTGCCTGCTCCGTAAATCTTAGTTTTCCCGAGGTTGTTTCACTCATGTTTTTGTAGTGAAAAATACCGCTTCAGGCCTTTCAACAAATTAATGTCTTCAATATTTTGTCACTCCTACGAGCTTTATAAAGAAAAGTTCAAGTTCATATGCCAATTAAGTTTGAGAAGTAGATTTGTCATTTGAGCTATAAGGAATTAGCAATTTTTGCAAAAAAAATCTGAAAATGTATCAATTGTGTTACGTCAACAATGATTTCCAATTTTTCAAAAACTTTTACAGTTTTCCAACTCAAATTATGTTAGTTAGCACATACAAGAACGATATTGTTATTGCCTCCGTACTAATCACGAAGAGCTTTGTAACTCACACAAGTTATTCAACAGCATTATTTTTTATCTAATGAGAAATAATATAAATTGATACTTTATATTTCTTGATACAATGTTGATGCAAATAACTTTCTTTTATGATAATATTGTTTTGTTTGTTTCAGTTACATACAAGTAGATTCTATCAACACGGCCTGCTATTACGGGCACAGTGACTGTATACAAGTTGCTACAGACCAGTACACGCAATGGATCAACAATCCGACAAACGATACGTGAGTACAGCCGTAATTGATAAAACAATAAATAAGATGAATTCTGGAATTACTATTGATGCCAATGTCTAATTGCATTTACTGAAATTCATTGCATTTCAGAATCATTCACATGAACGTGGCAGGTACGGTATACTGCACGGCTATAAAACATGGCAGTGATGATTTATGGTGGACGACGCAGCGTATATACAAAAACAATATTGTACCGGAGGAGAATGGTAATCTACGGAACGCGTTAGCGTGCAGCAGTAATCCATCAACAGTTCAAAGGTTACTTATTTGCATATGAAGGAATCACAATACTGAAACATTACTATATACTTGCATTGTTATAACGTGCAAATCACCGAATGTATTGTGCGTAAACTGGTAAACTAATATATAACGTCAAGATATCAAATATTTTTGTAATCTTTAGTTATATGGAAGCTGCTCTGGAAAGAAATGAGGCTAACTCTGTCATCCAAAGCGTTCTAACTAACTCACCTGTGGGATATCATTTAGCTTGGCAGTTTACAATGGAGAATTTCGAGGCTTTGAAGGAAGCGTAAGTATATCGGCTAGCTCAGTGCATTCTGGGATAATACGTATTTACAATGTACCTGCAAATATGTGGTTGATATATTATGTAATTGCTTACAGACACGGCGATTCAGCATACAGTATTGTATGGTTATTTGCATCCTATATGAATACAGAGTCAGATCTGTCAATGGTAAGATGTAACATATCAGACATTTTAGTTAGTTGTACATTATTTCGATATAAAAACTCATTGATGTGAGGACACAATTTGTTTATTTATTTATTTATTTATTTATTTATTTATTTATTTATTTATTTATTTATTTATTTATTTATTTATTTATTTATTTATTTATTTATTTATTTATTGTATTTATTTATTTATTTTATTTATTTATTTATTTATTTATTTATTTATTTATTTATTTATTTATTTATTTATTTATTTATTTATTTATTTATTTATTTATTTAAGCTCATGTCATTCGGTGAGCAACAATACGATATGCCTGGAACTGCAGCCAACAGCTTTTACAGTTCTGTCGATAAGGTGAAACTCAATATTGCGTGGATGCAGAAGAACTATCACCCTGTGAACAACCAATTAAAATCTGCTTTTGAAAATATAGTCCAGTCTTGATTACTGTAATGCAACTGCGTGAATGTCTATTATTACTTTACTAACAAGCTCTAGGAATTAACATTTCCTTAACCAATGAAATACTGGACTAGCTAAATCTCTAGCTAGCATCTGTAGAAATTTTCACAATATAAACGTATTATTAAAGCGTGTTAATGTGTGTCATGTATGAATTAGACACAGAATATGACATGTATGGTTATGTAAATTATAAATGATATGTTGAAAAAATTATGAATAAATTGTAATATGAAATTTACTACATGATTGAGACTTCAATTGATAATTGTACTGATATGAACGATTTGTACGAATCATGAACATTCGTCTCACACATAGAAACGGGTTTAAATGACTTTATGTACATGCACACACACACAAAATAATTCCAAAGGCTGGAAGATCTTCCTTGTGATTCAGAGTATACCTTTTCCATATTACACATATTTCTACTTTATACAGTATACACAACTTGTGTGGTCTCGACGAGTTGTGTTATAGCCGTATACTCCACGTTTTTTGTAAGAATCGAATCTAGTAACTTAACTAGTTGCTTAGCATACATATGCTCAGATTATTGTTGATGACAACTGACTGATTCACACCTTTCACCCCATGGAAATGTCCTAGCTTAAGGCGCTGTCATACATCTAAAGCTGTCAATGAAAGCTCCTCACCCTGTTAGGAGTAAGGCAATTAGAGCTCAGATGAACTTATGTAAAACAACAATTGTCTTCTAAAGCAGCTATTTCCCTCCGGAACTATATTGGAGATGTGATAAAAGTTGAAGCTCAGTTGATATCAGAGTCGCCAGGGTTGCCACACAGCAGAAGCGGCCGCACGAATTTTGCATGAGGGGCGAGATCTGCTCACCTTACTAACGGGGTATGCTCCTTCTAAACATTTTGAAATCTAAACCCTCTGAAACGCTATTTCATGCAATTTGAGAGGCACATTTGGCTGACACAAAGAGTGTTGAGCTCATGTTTGCCAAGCCAGCCGACAAGACTCATCAGCTCACCCAAAATCTTAAGCCTTGGTGCTTACTGTTGGTGGTTTGTTTCGAGGTTATTTTGGTTGACATGGTGACTGGGCAATGAACCACCTCCAGTGGAACTGTTGTTTGATTCAAAGGACGTGATATATCAAAATACATTGCTAAAGTTATCACACACCATAGCATCATTGCCATAAGTACTACCGGTATTACTCTCCAATATTTGAAATTGAAACTGTTAAATTGACAAGGCTAACAATCTAGTATAAACCGTTGATATAACAGCTTTTCACTAAAATCAGCCTTTCATGCTCGCCCCCTCACATCACCACACTCCAATATGCTATTCTTCGAAAGAAATCACACTATTGGCCATGTCATAAACCATCCCCTCATGGGTTTGCATATACAACAAAGTATTACTGATGTGACAGCCAATGACATGATGTTAATGAACCAGAAAACTCTCTCCAACAGCATGTTTGTCATGCAGTAGGCAAATAGTATATTACTTTTGAGACATTAGTATCTTACCTGAAAATGGATTGCAGTATATGCAGAACATACTGTAATTAGATTTCCGGACTAAATAATTTGTATCGGGCCGATTTCTGACAGCAGTTGTAGTCTCGATACCTGCTTTTCATTTGTACATCACTGGTATACGGATCTGGTGTATATCAGACCTTTTCTCCATAAATAGGTCTTTCTATTGTGATTGTGGCCCTCTGCAGTTGAGTTCAATTTCTTTATTTCCGTTTTATTTTGACGCAGAGGACGCTATTACAAGAGTCATGGTTACTGATTGGCGCGTTTTCTGTAATCAAATGAAGTCTATTGACACCTACCTCTCTAATGTACTATGCAGCATCAAAGCGTTTGTGGGGAATTGTTTTTATTTGGAAGTCACTGATTGGATGGAAGTTTGAATCTAGAAAAGGCGTGGCCTGTTATGTTTCGATTCAAATAAGCATAAACCATTTATTGGGATGGGATACTTATAATGAAGCAAGCTACTGCTAATAATTTTTAAATTATTTGAATTAAAAGTTTTAAATTATTCCCGATCAAAATAATCTTACCCTGTAATTTAAACTCGTATTGATCATGGCATTTTCAAAATCAGGAGGATTGACTCCACTCAAGTTATGACCTATAGTCCCTCCATTAGGTAGTGTTTGCATCCAAATTATGAGAAAGATGGCGGACTATAGCGTTGATTCATCTCGTTCTACTATAGATGAAATGAAGATCCAGAAAGTTAGTAATTATATGACTGTGTGTTTTTGTTTTTTTTACAATGGTTTTGACTTTTCCTATATGTTTGTGCGTATTCTTTGCCTTGCATATTGACTGTATCCGTGTGCTTGTGGGTTTTTTATGTAAACCATGATAGCGGCTCAGTACACTGCTGGCCTATAACAGTTCAGTTCTTTGCAATGTTTTAGTCCTCCTCGGCGCGATATGTGGCAGGTATTTAACATGGGTTTTATGCAGGGATCTGAATAAGCCCAAGCATTTATTTATCTATCTATGTATTTATATACGTATATGCATTTTTTTTTCTTTTTCACATTCGCTGGCTTCATTCATTTGTTTTGCCTATTTTTGGTGGAAATTTATTGCCAATCAGGGGCGGATACAGGATTTTTTTCAAACTTTAAAATCGCCAGACTAAGTTAATGAGTTTTTTTATATTATAAAAAAACAAATTGAATAATTTTTTCAACGGGGGGGGGGCGGACCCCAAGAACCCCCCTAGATCCGCCACTGCCAAGGCGGTGGGACATTTGCCACATATCACAGCACTTATTTTTCACATGCCACACTCTAGATAGGAGAGTCATGTTGGGCATTAGCTGGAGCATTGGTGTATATGGAAATAGTCACTGTTATTGCCTAGGTATTGCTTCCATGCACTGTCAATGACATACTTGAAATTTGCATAAGTCGGCACTTGTGAGCTTGCATAAGTCGGCACTTTGTTTAACTGGATTCTCAGAATGTCCCGGACCACTCTCCTATGCCTTTATTAAGCTAAAAATACTGACTGGCACGTCTATGTGTGTAGTCATCTTAACAGATATCTTCATAAAAGGCACAATTCAAGGGCCCGGGCAATTGTTTATTTAGAAGGTATGTCTATGACACTTTTAATCACTTGCATGGCAACTGTTTACAGAACCACTCGTAGCTTATTTACAAAGCGGTAACACTAATCCCCGGAAGCATCAATGTGTATAACGGTCAGGTCAGGTGACATTTCTGTCTCTTACGCTCCCTTAGTGACATGTTAAATTTGTAAACACGATTTTCATTGTCTTCGCTGAACCCGCGATGTGACAATGAGTAATATATCATGATTTATATTTCAGTCAGTTTGACAGTGGTTGTCATGACATATACTGATAAAGGTTAATGACAAGACCAGATGGCGAGCTGGTCGAAATCAACCAAAAACATCTTATGACTCTGCAGTTTTTAAGATACAAGACAGTAGCTGTAATTCTAAACCAATGTTGTTTGCGAGTTTAAAAAAGGTAGTATCTTGGTGGAATGTTAGTGCGAGATTATTACCCCATCAATATTAGTTAGTGTTGACAATGTATAGAAATGTTTTCTCTAGATAGCTTGACGAGTAATTAATTGATTATGATGTGTAAAACTTTCATGTGATTGGTTGTTTGTTTGAAGGCAAGGCCTTGGAGTCTCTTATACTGATTGCAATTGGTTAAGGGGTGACAAGAAATAAAGATGGATTTAATGCTGTCTCGGGTGAAAACCAGGGACTTGGCAGAGAATCGTTTTGGGAACATGAACGAAGCTTGTGTGTGTCTTTTGTCAGCCTAGCGTGGAAACGACCGAATCCCGGTTACCTAAGTGAAAGGTTTTTAACCATCAAAAATACCTATCACAAATATATTAAGAATTGTGTGAATGTTTGTGAAGATTAGATGACACACAAATTTCAGAATTTCACGCCCCATGACAGAGAAGCCTGACGAGTGAGTTACACCTTTCGCGATGCTCCAAACCCCACACAGTGAGGTCTTATGCTGTTCGGCCGGCGAGGTCGCTACAACGTCTACATGTCAGACTAGTGACAGAAAGGAACAGCAGTTATTTATTTAAGCGCAGCAGCGCGTCCTTTTACCGGTTCGTGTTTTTTGACCGTTATTCGTCAAAATCTCATCACGTACGCTATGTATTGTCATAAATACGACATTCATTCATTGTTGTGATATTCATAGCCACAAACATCCACTTTAGTGGTACTCAATTGATCTATAAGTTGAAGAAAACACCATTTTACCAGAGCTTTGATGGAGTTACAGTGCGACAAAATTGTCAGTTCAAATAATCCATGTTATATTTTGATTACAAAAATATATTCTCAGATGATGACAGTTAGCCTGATTGAAGGATGCATTCATTGATCTGCTGACGATATCAACAGATCAAGAAGCTTACATGATCAAATCCCTTATCTGTACTAAAGCTCTGACGTGGGAAAAATGCAGGTCTGTATAGGACAGAAATAGTTTACTATATTTTTTTTTAATTTTGATTATTGTCTTTTTGTTCACTGATCAGCGAGGTTTGTTTGTTGCTCTCAAAATGTGAGTACAATATATATTCTCATCATAACACAGTGCTACTAGAATAAGAATAATGAAATTATTTTGACCTGTTTGAACTGTTCATAGCGTATCATTTGTGGTTTCATCGATTCATACCATTCTAACTAGTTACTGTGGGGCAGCGTTCAGTACAAGCTATTTTGAGATACCTCCAGGAAGGAAAGTAGTTTTTTTTTTTTGGAAAATTTGTTTTGGAGCTTCATTATGAAAGATGTTATATAATATGGAAATTGTTAAATGTTAATATATTAGGGGACGTTATTATTCCTCCGATGTAAGCATCACGTCTATATGTTTGTTTGACTGGTTGTTAATTGTTCAAGCATTTGTCCAGCACACACAGATAATCAAAACGAGATAATTAAGATGTAGAGATGAATTACTCAGCTTCAGAACATCCCATTTCTCTCAGAAGTCGTCGATTTAGTATCTTGTAGAGAGAAGTGGGTGGGCCGTTGTATGGGTGTGGTGAGGGTGGATTGGGGTTGAGTGGGGTCGGACGGCACAAATTTGCTCAAATATATGTAATACAGCGTTGTCCCGGGTAAATCCAACAAGTTGGATGAAAGTGAAAGATTTAGAGAAAAAATAACCCATAACCTCTAGTCGCTATCTGCATGGT